AGTATACAGTGCTTCCGCGCACATGTCGAGATGGATAGTCCGGAAACTTTAGTTGTCAGTGTTCCATGCCCGTGTCTTCTGAAAAGCAAAACGATCACTTGCCTATGACCGAAAGTTGACTGTAACTTCTGTCCTTCCAGATTCCAGCCCAGCACCGGACGTTCCTCAGCTCACAAATGAGACGTCACGGCAGTGGATTGTCTTAACTCAAAGAGACCTAAGAATCCCGACGTGCTTGATTCCTCCCGGCAGAGGTTGGAACCTCTGCCGGAATTCGACTGCACCTAAAGACTGTTCAGAAGCCAACAATGATCACTACACCACCTTCAATCTCAAGTGGAACCCCGTCATTGCGGTGAACGAGACATAAGTGTAACTGCCACTAGAATTTTCCCCGCGAGTTGTGACGCTCTATTCTTTAGATTTATTGTTATCACTAAATGATTAGACTCAGTTTTTGCCTGTTGTGACATGCTTATTTATCTAGATTAAAAAAAAATCTGAATAATTGCTTGAAATCTTTCAATCCCGACTCCTACTCTAAACGGGTTGGACTGTATCTGAAAAGCTTGTCTGACTGTCTCCACAATTACGCTGTCGCAGATCAAATTGCTTTTCCACACACTTCTGCAAAAAATATGGGTTTTTCTTGTATGATCATGTTCGCCGGATTCTGCATGCTCCACAACGACTGTAGAAGCTAATCTAGTCAAATTCCTCTCTGCCGGCCATTACACAGAAGAATAAACCAAAACCCGAAGCCAACTTCACCGTGGCCTTCTTCTCAGAACCATAAAAAGAACGCCACGTCAAATTAAGTCGGGGTCATGATGACATAGAGTCTCATGTCTTGTAGCTCTCCAGCTTTTGCCTTTTATGTCTAGAATCCGCAGACAGGGAAGTGTGTTGCTCGATCAGAATCTCTGACTTTCTTATGGTATTGGCAGTTTATGCCAGATTTGTGGGTGTAAGCTATCAGAAGATTAATGTTGACACTGTATTGTTGTGATGTATTAAGAATTATTGTCAAATGTGTAAAGAAGTATTATACACAAGTCAGAATGAGCAGTGAGCGCTTTTTGTAGAGCTTCCTTGTTTGCACATAAATGGCAGCAGAGTTGCGCGATGTACCAGCAGAGTCGCTTACAAGGCTTGCAACTGAGTTCCATTCTTCACGCTCATTTCCTGCTGACTACAGAGGGAGCTATATATGGTATCTGAAGAAACCACAAAGCTGATGATGACACAGACCAGAAACTGATGCAGTGCTGGAAACCTTGAGCTGACACTCACTGTCGATTTGCCCATGACTTCGATAGTTGTGACCTTTGAGAACCGATTCAGATCAAGGCTGAAATTTGAATCGAAAGTGAGTAGGTGAACGAACGTTGGCTTCACTCTGAAGTCATAGAGATTCGGAAGAGTTTGTAAGCTTGCTAGGACAATACGTGGTAGAAAAGACTTGACAATTTTCGTCTGGTTTCCGCTGATTTGATTTACTAATTGTAAGAGATCTTGCATCTATGTTCTTTAATACCCTGCTTCTTCAAAGTGGTAGATTTTTCTGCTATGTACAGAAGCTCTGTTACAGCAAGTGGAACTGATTGGCAAATCGTTTATCCCTCACGGGAATTGAAATGCATTGCAGGCTTTAGTTATGGAATACTTGAAGATGACACATTCGGCCATCGTGTTAGTGCTCGCACTTGTAGCATTGATCTTCTTCCATGTTGCTGTCGGAGAGCAACCACTGAGTCTACGACTGCTTTTAACGTCAGAAGATCCTTCGTTGAATGTTCTTGACATCGATCGGAAAAGCTTTCCTCCAGGCTTTCTTTTCGGCGCAGCTTCCTCGTCTTATCAGGTCTCCTCCATCATAGTCAAGACAATACCCTTTCAAATTCTTCCCACGGTCTCCATTTTCGTCCCGTATGATCATCTACAGGAAAATGGCTGCCCGTCATATCGTCATGAGGATCCTTTCCTTGTTTAATTTCGGATAGGAGACCTATAACCCACTTAACGACATCCTTACAATCCTCTCTACTTATGAAGCATAGTTTGTAACTGCTGTTTCAGTTGCCAGTGACCAATAACAAATGGATGATCAGGAGTTTGATTGTTGAGTTATAACTGCAACGGAGCGAACAGTAATGAGAACCTGGAACTTGGGCATCCTCTGCAGGCCTTTCTCTCACATAATGCGCTAGCTGTGGATGCAGGTTGAGGGTGCTGTAAAAGAAGGCGGGCGTGGAACCGCCGTATGGGACACCGATAGTCACACTCCAGGTGCGTTTTTTTATTTACAAAATTATTCCGCCTTTGTTTATTCTAATGCCGTTGCTTACTATGGAAAGCTCAAAGTTGTGAGACACAGTAAAAGTACATCGTGTACAACCAGTGTTACAAGCTAAAGGGCCGAAATAGCAATTTGCCTTTCAGGTCTTCAAGTGAAAGATTTTTCCAAGGTCATAACAAGTGTATTACTAGTTGATCAGATCAATGGACCCTGACGTAAACAAACATTTTGAATTTCAGGTTTTACAGCGGATGGTGGTAATGGTGACGTTGCATGCGACAGCTATCACAAATTTCAGGTACTCTCCACGGCTACCTTTCATCGTGCTCCTTCGATTCTGTCGGTGTTCAGTGGATAAATTTACATGAAATTATGTTGCGAATGTCTAGAAAGTATATAAACCGTGATCGTCGCTATCAGCCAGTAAAACAAACCACAGACGAAGTCGACGAGACGATAAAGCTATTCTACTTTAGACTAATAGTCAGTTTCCTTCCTGATTGATTTCCTCGAGGGTCCTGTGGAAGTCAGGTCGACATGCACCTCGTGTCTTCTTTATCGCTGTATTCCTAATCATAATGATATTTCTTATCATATCTTATTTATCTATCCATAAAAATCCTAAAATCTCTTTCGTGTGCGCAGGAGGATGTCGATATACTTACTCACGTGGGATTTCAGGCCTATCGGTTGTCTATCGCATGGGCCCGCATCTTCCCAGGTAGGAATCTTCTTTTGCATGATTGCCTCAAAAGCATAGAGGTTAACACACCCTATAAACACAAGCCTGATAATTATTTAATTGTGAAGGCAATCGTTAGCTGCGAGGGTCTGTGACAACTTTTGGATTAGAGTTGTCGTACAATTCATGATACATCTTCGGTCAGTGGGCAAAGAGTACATTCGGACTTAAAACGAAATCATATATTCTTCCAAATGTGAAGAATCATTTACTTAGGAAAATTTGGGCTTGATAGATTCTGTCCGCATTGGAGAGCTCCTTGTCAAAGACTTCTAGTCTGCGCACTTTTTCAACTTTTTCTCTCGGGTCACTCTCTGGGACTCTTAGGTCAGCTCAACTTTTCCTTCGCCACAGTTCACCCCTCAATCGACGGACGTAGGCCTCAGTTGCGTCCGTGTATCTGTCTGTATGGTTTTCAAACATTTTCTAATTCTCACTTAAGTATTGTCTGAAATGTCTTCGGGACCCAACCTTGTCTTATCGGTTTGTCTCTAGTTGATTACCGATCCTTTCACGATTTCGTCTTGCATGCCGTTTGACTTTGTAAGAACATACTTGCCATCTGATACAAGTCTGTTTTCGATGCAAAGCAGATGGTTCAGGTACCGTGGTAAACCAGGAGGGTGTGGACTACTACAATCGACTTATTGATGCTGTTATTGAGCGCGGTATGTCTGAAATTTGTGTGGTGAGCTTGGAAGCTTGTTGATCGGCCTTCCGAAATCTGTATCATTCATGACATCTGAATTCCGACTATCGAGGAGATGCTTCTTGGTTCTTGACTTCTATCCCATTACCTTGTGGGGCTCCTACGCACTTCGAACTCATGTACTCCGAAATTCTGAAAACGTCGTCACTTTCCTGAAATGTTCAGGAATTGAGCCCTGGGTTACATTGTATCATTGGGACCTTCCACAAGCATTGGAGGATTCCTTCGGAGGCTGGAAAAGCCGAGAGATAGTGTAAGTTGTCGAACTATGATCTCTTCTTACTTCTGAAGCTGACTATCACGATGAGAGTCTCCTTTGTTACACTTACACAATCTACCTTTTCTTTCTCCTCTTCTTTCCATTTCCGTCAGACCCATGCTTGTGGACTTGAATAGCAACATCAATGCAGTTCACAGCAAAATGTGATCGGAGCGAAATCTGTTGATAAATGTAGCGGTGCATAGTGATAGGAAAAGTACAAGGATTATAGTTGAAGAGATTGGCTAGACCAAGGATGGCCAAGATTGTTGGTCCAAAACTGAAGGAGCTATGTCACTGAATCAATTGTTGCAGGCCAGCATTTGAGACCTACGCAGAAACATGTTTCGCTTTGTTCGGAGACAGGGTCAAGCGTTGGATTACAATCAACGAGCCAACTATGTTCGCCGGCACAAATATGGGTTGCAAAGCTCCTGATCATAATTGTGGTCCTGGAAACAAAACAGAAAACCTTTACCTTGAGGGACACAACATTCTTTTGGCCCATGCAGCCGCGGTGCAGATCTATCGCTCTAAGTTTCAAGTAAGCCTCGCTGGAACTTGGCATATCCCCTAACGCTTTGCCACGTTGAAATGTTGTATATATATCGTTTCCATTCCATGATTTGTCCTTCTGCCGATCTTGACCCGCTGACAATGTCCCAATCCACAACAGGCTGCGCAGCATGGCATCATAGGTCTGGTAATGGACATCCAGTGGTGGGAGTCTCTGTCTAACTCAAAGGAAGACTTGCGAACTCATGAACTAGCTATGGCCTTGAGATACGGATGGTAAACTCTTATCTTCATCTCGTCCACCACGAAGGTCATGAGCTTGGTTCCGTTTAATCTGATTCTCAGTCTTCAAGCATCAGAACTCTTTCACAATGTGTGTCTGCAATTTTATGTTCAAGATCTTACAGGTCAACAACTGACCACAGCAAAATAGGAATTCCCATGCAAGTGAAAAACCTGAGTTTCATACCTTGTCCGCGCCGCCCGGGGGGCTCGAACCCCCGACCACAAGGTTAAGAGCCTTGCGCTCTACCAACTGAGCTAGGGCGGCATATATCTATCAATTAGACAAAACTTTTTATAATTTATTTAAAGAGAGAATCATGGCTTCGATGCTGTTTTATTTGATGAACACTAAAGTTACAGGCCCATTTTTCGAAAGGCATGTTACGGAGATCAGAGCAACGACCTTACTTCGTGCTACCGGATGCTGTCAATATTTACGGTAGAAAGGTACTGATGAAATACTTGACATAAATTGGTTGCAGGTTCTTGGACCCTCTAGTGTACGGTGACTACGCGAAGATCCTCAAAAGCTTCGCAGGTTCCATTCTGCCAGTTTTCTCGGCGGAGGAGTCGCAGTTGATCAGGCAGTCGTTCGACTTTCTCGGAGTAAATCATTACACGAGTTACTACGTCACGGATAAACCCACTGATGAATTCGTCATCGCCTCCACCTATTTTCCCGACTCGGCTTCCATATACTACGGAAGTACGTCCCAAATTTACTCCATTGACTGTCATTACAAAGATTTGTACAGTACTCAAGCCCTAGCTTTTGCTAGCAGTCGTGGACCTTTGAGATCTCATCCTCTTCTCACATGTCATGTCTCTTCTTGCAGATACCCGAAATGGACTCCGAAATGGACCTCAGGTACAGCGCAAACACTTTAATTCTCTCAGAAATCTTCTGAGAAGTGTTGAAAGACATGATCCGTCCTTGTGTCACGGGACGTTTAGATCTTCCGTTGAGAAAACTTTCCTCCCAGCTGTGGTAGTGACTATGATGGTTCTATTTTTGCAGGCAGGACCACGATGGCAAAGTATAGTACCTTCGGGTATGAAAAATGTTCTGGATTACGTGAGGTTGAACTACGGAAACCCCGTTGTTTATATAACTGAGAACGGTAAGGGTGCTACCTACCGATAAGCTTGGCATTCTTGTGAAGGCCACAGGCAGGTTATCAGACTCTGCATCTCTTCAAGAGAACAGAATGTGTTGCCGGACTGTTCCTCCATTTAGTAGATTGTGAATTGCGCTCATATAGTTTGTTCGACTAAAAGTAACTGCTTATAATCTGATATTTAAAATCCTGCTTAACACTCATGATGAAATACCTGCAGGACTAGGTGAGAGAACTGATTCTTCAGTACCTCTCAGTCAGCTTTTGAAGGATACAACTCGTATCCAATTTTACCACGACTACTTGTCATACCTCCTTCTCGCAATGAGGTAAGTGATTACAGCCATGAATACTTGTCCACAATTCGATTGTAGATAGGGGACAGGGCTTATGATCTCAGATACAGGGCGCTGAAGTTTTCATAACATCCAGAATATGTCTGTTCTCAACTACTACAGTATTGTTGTCGATCAATTTTCAGGGATGGAGCGCGTGTTCGTGGATATTTTGCTTGGTCCCTGCTGGACAGTTTCGAATGGTTTGACGGCTACAACGTCGGCTTCGGTTTGGTTGCCATAGACCGGAAGAATATGACTCGCTATCCGAAGGCATCCACTGGATGGTGGGAAGGTTTCATGAGAGCAGATTATGTGAACAGAGGACACGAGCAAATGTGAACGATGGTTGCTTGTGTTTCTTGGGTTTTGTTCAAAGGACTGCGTAGTTTTTTGCAACATAGTTTGCCTTTAGAACCCAGACCCCGGATCGACGGAACGAATAGGACAATTTCATGTTAGGAATGGTACTTCACAAACTTACTGTACAAATTTGTTATACACAAGTGGAATAGGAAATGTAAATCAGAGGTGAATCTCGGAGTCCTGGCGGCAGAGCACTGGAGTATCTCAACTGCAACAGGCCACTATTGTTTGATGATTAGCCGAGCTTATGTGATTCGATTGTTGTGATTCAAACATAGCAGAACGAACTCTGTGGCGGCATAAGTTCATTTGAGAAACAGGCCTCTGATTTTGAAACGTTGGATTCAAATATGAAATAAAAATGCAGTTGTACAATCTCATAAGTCATAAACATCGATTTTCCAAAGAAATGATAATATTCCTCGCATTTTCTTTCTCTAAAACTTAAATTTCTGAACAATGTTATTTAGTGTTTGTAAATCTATCGATAAGAGTAAATTTTATTCATTCAATGACTGAAATTGTGTTCACTATTTGCATATGACTATATGAGTTTAAGATATTCATTATACAAAAGTGAGACCCAAATGTCAAAAAGAATTAGATCTTCGTACTTTCTTGATATGAAAATAACAAAAATTTGTAAGATATAACTTTATGGAGTAAATGTGATCATTGAAATCTTGGAAATTTGGATTGAGATAATAGAATAATATTAACAATCATATTGCAATTTTTTTTTTTATAATTTGTTGTTGAAAAAAAATTTTATTTGGTTTGAAGAGTGGATGATAGAGTTCAATGAGTTAGGTAACAGGTCATTTTGATTGCAATGAAACGATATTTTTTTCAAGTTTTCTAATCAATTGATCTCATAATCATTGTATTGTGATCTTCGGATTGACTCTCATTCAAGTTTATCTCCGATGACTTTTTGGAAATTCATGATGGATCTAGAAAGACATGTTCCAACCCGATGACCATGTCTAAATGCAAACTCTTATATAAACTCTCAAATTCCAAACTCCATAATAACAACCTTCGCAAAAAGTCAAATATTATTCAAAAAGAAAAAAAGATTTATTCATGATCAAAGATTTCATTGAATCAAATCTTCAACCCCTAACATGATTTCTCAAAAATCAAGCTCCCAAAATAATAGTTCTCCAAAACTCACTTCTCCCAAAACTAACTTAATATGTGATTCTCAACTTCTATATTTATATTACTTAAAATTTTAGTCTTATAATTAAAATTAATAATGAAACTTTCTCTAACCAAATTTAATCAAGATATAGCTCGCAAGTCCCAATGAGAAAATATATATGGCAACATACAATTAGTCTACTTTGATCTTCTAGAAGTCCAATTACACTCCAATAACTTTTAACATGATATTTAGTTTATCTAAATATCACTTTAGATATACTCACATTATATACTCTATGTACAACTATAGGTCTTATAGTTCATAACAGGTTGTGGAAATAAGAATATAAGTGAAATGTGATGGAGGAGTATATTGAAGAATTTTAATATCTTCAAATTCATATTAAAGATATGAGTGGGGTCTTGATATATTCAAAAAAAGATTGAAGGAAAAAATTCAATGTATTGATTGAATGTATACTTCTGTAATTAACTTTAGACATTGAAGTTCAAAGAGCTTCACAAATCTTGCATTCTTGTAATAGCGCCAGAGTCAAATTCGTGCACAAACTTATTTTCACAAACCATCAATGAAAATTCCACACTCAAGATTCAATTATTCAAAATAATTTTCTTTATTGAGAGAGCGAATTTTCATTACATGTTGGATTGGTGTCATCAAGTGAAGGCTCCATAAGTTATCATGGGAGTGCAACTAATCAAGCATTAGCACTAGGCCAAATTACTAGGTAACTTTAGAGTAATTCATAGCCCGTTATTTTCATCACTAATGCACACAAAAGCTAGGGTCGAGAAATCTTGTTCTATCCTAACTACACAAACATGCCATTTCCAAAACAACTGCAATGAGCGACATCACTACATTTCCTACTCCTAAGTAATCTAATCATCACCTACACTAAACATTCCCTCCTACAAATTAGACTGATCTTCCAAGCATCCAATCATGATCTTCCAAGCATCCAATCATGTCTTTACATACCAAATGAAGGCATCAATGCTCGTATGCATGTCATGGATGTCTTCTACGATCTCCTTTTGATGGGCGTGCATCACTTGCTAACACTCACATCACATTGCCTTGTACATATCCTTGCTTTTATCCTTGAAGTCATGGGGATTCTCTGTCACTTTTGTCACCTTCTACAATCGAAAGAACTCCATTTTGTCAAAGCATAAGAAGAGGTATTGTGCACAACTACATGCAATGATTTCTAGCTAGATGGGTCACTCCACATCTAGCTTATTCATGCATCTCTTCAACTCATGTATTTGATCCCAAAGACGTACATTCTCAACTTCCACAAAGTTGATTTCTACATCTTTGATCTTACAAATCTCGGAATATGTTATCTTAGTTTTGACCACTTATTTTTCCTTATGTGACTTCTAAGTCATGCAATCTACACTCTTTGTCATTTGAGAGATAGTCTACGTCTAATCTCCTCTCTTAGTGGCCATCCAATGCATCACATAGATCATTTTCATATAATCATATTCCTGTGGATCATATCCATGAATGTAATCGAATGTCATTTTGTCAAGCTCCATAATCACAAAAACAACTATTGTCGCCCTGCTGAAACACCAAGGACATCTTTGTAGCCTTCATCTTTGGTCTTAATGCCTTTTTCACCAAGCTCACCGTTGCTTTGGTCGCCTTCATCTTCTTCTTCGGCGATGGTTGTCTTACAATCTCCACACTTGAATTGTGAGTTTGCTTCCATGAAGATCCCACCAAACCATCTCCTTCAAAGATGTCTTTCTGAATGTTTTCCATCATTCGATTAAGCTCATCCAAGGGCACCTCACCTAACTCCTCCTTCAAATTAGGTGAAGTTATATCATCTCTTGTGGATCTCAACAAGTTGCATGTCGAACCACTACTCACTTCCTCCACATCAACCTCATGGTTAGATAACCATGTCTCTTATTGATACTCCTTCGGTATCAATCACCCATGCTCGAATATATATATATGTATAAGGAATGATGACAAATAAACTACCCCCTTCTCTTGCTCTTAGTCTCCTGAACAGGAGATGTCCCCCTAGTTGATCTTGTTTGAGCTTGCTATAAAGCCCATCACTCTTCTAACCTTATGCATGCTTACATATATTCTTCTTCATGGTGAGAATATATTGTTCAAGATAAAGATAACCTTCCATCTAAAGTCATCTTTAATAAGTTCAATCTTATAGCCATTCATACCTTTTGTCTTTTGAGGATGAAATCATTTTGTATTATCAGAATCAAATCCAGTGTAAAGTGATGAGCCTTTCTAATCAAGAC